TAGAAAAAATTGTGGTTGGAAAATGAAAGGAAGTCCCTCTATTTATAGTTTACAAAGGGTAGTTTGATCAAATATTTTTTGTGTCCTATGTGAAAGATCATGAATGAAAAAATTTATTAGTTAAATGCAGTTATGTATATATTTATTTCAATTAGATTAGGTTCAATAATGTAATTAGTCGTATCTCACTAATATTACCTTACAGACAATATTTGTTTTGTATTTTTCTTCTCATCTAACCAGATATGCTTTGCATGTGTATTCTACGTTAAATTGTTTAGATGTCATATGAACATGTGAAGAGAACAACTACATTTTATATATTCACATATTTTCACATTTGTTGTGAGTTTTGCTTTATAAAAAAAAGTACTCGAAATATTATAAAATAATATATTTTCAAATTAGAAGATCTCGTTAACTTGATAGTACTTTTGTGACATATATAATACTTTAATTAAAATACAAAGACCTACCCAAATATAAATATACATTTGCATTAATTAATGAAAATATTTTTCTCATAAAATTAACTGTTAAATAAATGATAAAAATTAAACTAATACAAACTTCAACTGACATTATTACAAGTCATATGAACTTTTCTTCGTCTATAGTAAATAAGTAAAACAAAAGGGCAATGTTTATATAGTAATAACTATTTTGAAGCAAACTTCCTGGGAGTCTAAATCACATAAGTAACATTGATAAATAAAGTCATTCTTTTGTCTTGAGCATCCAAAACAAATCCTGACAATTCTCTAAAGTTTGGAAAATAATTTTCAGAAGCATATATCTACATCACAAGAAAAACTGTTAATAAACAAATGACTTTAGACTACATCATGTTAACTTCATATATTGGAACATTACACACTAATGTTTATATTAAGCAAAAAATAATTATTATATCATCAAAAATATATTATTTTCTTCAAGTACTCGAGGTTATGAAATATACCCTCTTAGGATAGAACGACTTAGTTCATCAGAATAGTGGTACCTCATATTCCGCTAAACTTTGAACTCACTCAAATGGCAATAAATTACACAAAAAATTTTAAATTGCAAGAAGAAGAAGAGCAGAAGATTAGAAAAAATTGTGGTTGGAAAATTAGAGGAAGTCCCTCTATTTATAGTCAACAAAGGGTAGTATGAACTATGAACAAATGTTTTTTGTGTCTTATGTGAAAGATCATGTCTTTTCGAGAAGTCGCAACACTTTGAAAAGGTCACAACTTATTGAAAAAGTCACAACTCTTTGGAATAGTCACAACTCTTTGGAAAAGTTATAACTTATTGAAAAAGTCGCAACTCTTTGGAAAAGTCACAACTTATTGAAAAA